TATTTCATCATCATCATCATCATCGTTACAGCCCTTCACCAGTCTACTGCTGAACATAGGCCTCCCCCAAGCATTGCCACAAATCACAGTCCTGAGCCACCTGCATCCATCGACTTCCTGCATGCCTTACCAGGTCGTCAAAAATACATATTATATCGGTAGAAACTGAAAATGTTAGTTCTGTTTTTTTTTTGTTTGAAAGTATAATTACATAGGTATTACTCTGAGATTTGCACAATTAAAGTATCTATTAGTTGATTAAAATTAAATTATTAAATATTAGCAGAATTCTACCAAAAGCCATGAATTAAAAGAAAAAAAAAATTACTTTTGTTTGTCAGTCTTTTATATCGAAAATATTTTCTGAAACTTATTTTCATAGGTTTAGATTTTAATACTTATTATAAGTTTTTGCTTAACCGATTCGTTGCGGCACCAATTTTCGACAACTTTTAAAGGCTTATTACATTACACGATTTATCGGGCCCTGTCCATCGTGTGCCCTGCCTACCAGACAGGGCGCTGCTTATTACACTACGCTAGAAATCGTTTCCTGCCTCAGTTGTTACTCGAACGTGGAAATGATTGCACGTCTAGCATTATGGCGCAGACTTTATCTAAACGTCAAAAAATTGCTTTATTGTTTTTTTTTACGTGGTAGAGCCATGCTACAGCTATATTAGTAGTATAGTTGTAGCACGAATGGGTCGGCTCGACCGGGGAAGGACCACGCTCTCACAGAATACCAGCGTAAAATAGCAGCTTAACACTGCTGTGTTTCGTATGGTGAGTGTAGAGAACCGGAGACCCTTTTTACTGGAAAAGAGGCATTCCATCTCAGTCCTCACGGGTGACAACGCATCTGCATTTTGATTCGCATACGAGGATAAATGTTGGTGTCTATGGGCCACAGCAACCACTTACCATCGGGTGGACGGTGTGCTCGTTTGTCACCCTATCCTATAAAAAAAAAAACTTTGGCTGGCGGTAACGTGCAAGGCCAAGCTAAAAAAAGGAAGGAAAGTTAAATGTGGATGAAAAAATATTTGCTCCTCAGAGAAAAATTATCGAATCGAACATGCAAATAGTCAGCGTTTTGGACTCAACAGACCTACGAAACTATTTTAAAGAGTAGGTGAAAACCAATTCGACGAGTTATTAAGCTTAGTAACGCCTTTAATAGAAAAAAAAAATACTTTAATGATTTCTTATATTTACGCGAACACTACACATTGAATAAAACTACTTGTACGGATTCTATCGCGTTTAATTTTTTTTATTAATTCCCGACGTTTCGGTTGCTTTACAGCAACCAGTCCCCCGTGACCATGGGTGGTAAAGCACCCGAAACGTCGGGAATTAATAAAAAAAAAATATTAAACGCGATATTATCCGTAAAAGAAGTTTTATTCAAAAGAATACTTTTTTAAGAGAGATTGGTTGTCATTTTACGATTTTGGCCACTGGAAACTCCTATCAAGATTTGATAAGGCATTTCTTTGTAGATGTCGATGACATTGAGAAGGATCTTTTTCTTTAGCGCATGACATAAATACGTGTAATGATTTAGAGAGTAGATCGACATAGTAGAACTTTAAATAAACAAACGTGTAGACTCTGCGCATGCGGCCACACAACTGAGTTCCCTGCCTCCCTGTCTCTTATTACACTACACGATCCACAGCGCGGCAGGGAAGCAGGGCGGTCGGAACCACTCGGTCGCCCTGTTTAGGGACCCTGACTCCCTGTTTCTTATTACACTACCCTGTCCCTGCGGGCAGGGCCCGAGAAATCGTGTAATGTAATAAGCCTTTTAGCTGTGGCGGCGAACAAATATTTCATGACATGCCGGGCGTGTCAAGCGCCACAGACAACATGACAAAAAAATGACACGCCTATTGTGCCATCCGCCATGTGTTAAAGTAATGTTCTTTTTTATGTTTTTTTTTTTTTACTTGTTTAGACCTAATTAAGTTTATTTGACATCAAACATAAGTTACAAATGGAAGTATACTTGTTTTTAGTGGGTAACTACGTATTTTTTTACGGGTTTTCTTTGAAATTGAGAGTAAGTGACTTTTTTTATGAAGAGATTACAAACCTTTTGTACTATTTTTTGTTGTTATAAAAAAATCATTTATATAAGTAGGTACAGCTAAATCACCCTGGAAACCTTGGTTTTTATTAAATTAAATTTTTACCTAATAATAACATTTGTATAACAAATATCAAACAATGAAAAACCTTAATTTGAAAAAAAAAGGTATATCATTCATTGATATTTACAACTGTTAAATATTATTTAATGTTATACAAATGTAAAAGTAAAGTCGATCTGAAAAGGTCTAATTAGTAAGAATAGCAAAACAAGTGTTTTCAAAAGGAAACAAACGCCGACGCTATACGGCGGCGGATTGACAAAAGACTATTTATTAGCGAACTTTTTTATGCATGAACGGTTTCGAACTGTTTCAAGCAAAAATAAACCTTATACCATATCACAAGAGCACATGGTACTTCGTAGGTCTATTCGGTCATATGATAGTAATAAGACGGCAGTTCAACCATTTTAAGCAAAATTAAACAATAAGACAAACATAACAGGAGACTTGTTTTCCAGAAATTTATTTACAACTTGAGTTTGTGAGGGATCGCAATGAGTGCTAATTTGTTACTTATTAGACAATTTTTCCATAACATGATTTAAAACACACAAAGTAAAAATAGTACCATGTACACGTTAAAAAAATGCATGCATGAACTACTCGCAAAATAATGAATATTTTGTTCTGGATAAATTTTCCAAAAAAGCAATTTGAGCGAGTTATAACGATTTTTAAAAAGACACGACTCGCGTGTTATACGCCATACACAAAAGTAATCGATGGCACACCTGACGTGTCACCCGCACTGAACCGGTGTTATTTAAGTTATTATCAATTCAGAATACATTTCTTCGCGAATAGATTCGCCCCCCCACCTTTTCCCCCTGCCGGACGTGCATATTATTTTTATATATAGAAGATTAAAATTTTTATTGAATGATTTCTGAGAAAAATAGCTTTAATAGGAAGGGGGCGGTTATTACTTTCCAAAAACGTCATAAAATAGCAAGCAATCGGTCTCCAGAGGGGTAGCCAAGTCGTCGAAAAACAGGAGGCAGATAATAAAAATAAGGAGCACATTAACTTACGTCAATGTGCTCCATTCCGAGTTTAAACTCTGAAGCAACGGAATCATAGATAAATATATATGTAGCAAGCTAAACGGAATGACGTTTACTACGCGAGTCGAGTATAAACGTAGTGATTATATTCTCTTTGGTCGAGTAATCTGTTATACTGTCAATGTCAACTTAAAAAATGAAGTTCCGTTTCACGTATTCAGTACCACCGACTCGCCCGGAGAGTTCACGTAAATCTTATTCCAGTGCCGACGACTCGTCTCGCGAGTTCAGTGTTTTTCACTAATATTTCCAAAATGCATCCGTATTTTCTGCTTAAAATTATAGTTTAGACTAAATATATGCTAAACTAAAGATTTACGTGGTGGGTCGGGTGTGGAGACTCCGTTTAAATTTGAAAGGAAACAAACTATTCTGCAATGCCTTGAACTCGCTAGGCGAGTTCCCTGACATAGATCCTCAACCATTTACATGTTAGATAACGACGTCAACATAGTAGCATGGACTACCTACATACTTGTGATATGGAACTAATATTCACAATAAAAATAATACATACCATATTCTTAAAACTGAAAGCCCGTATTATAATAATAATCGTTTATTTCCAATCAAAAGTAGATAAAGAATGTGTGTGGGCTTGCGTGCGTGTTGTTGTTGTTGTTGTTCTCGAATAAGTTCCTTAAACATTCTATTAACATCAATTTTAAATGTATCGAATTCATCCTCACGCTTCCTTTTGGTGCGGTAAGCTGTTCGGCTGGCCATCGGAATCGGAATAAATATTTGGGTCTGAATGCAGTGTTTGCGATGTAAAGTTGATGGCCGCCGTCGAGACGTAGGTGTCGGTCGCGCTAGTAGCAACAATATTCTGCGGCTGCGAAGTAGACTGCGGTGGCGAGCGAGAAATCATAAAGCGACGTTAAAACAATGTACCTGAGCAATATAAACAATCAGGTATTACGTATTTATTGCAAGCTCCAATGTTTCGTTACTATTTGCTTAGAGGTCAAGCAACTGGTCGTCGATCGACGATTCTTATACAAAAGGTCTTTCCGTCTTATATCACTTGATCTCTCGTCCTGTGCATACAATATTAATTTATGTTATCCCTGTTTTATTCAATGACGCAATGATTAAGCGTTTCTTTCTCGTTTGAACTATTTATTATTTTGCAAAAAAATTATAACCCTTCAATAATACGGCTTTTACTCACACAGCTGCATGGGAATTTAGTCTGTATTGAAGACTAGTGTTGAGAGTTAGTGAACACTTCTTCACTTTTATGCACTCCTAATTATTTATTTGATTTTGTCGGAATTTAACATAAGTTAACTGTATTTAACTAACTAAACCACACACGTCTGGTCTCTTCGAGAGTCCGAGGGGAAGGATATATATTAAATTATTTCATGGTAAAATTGTCTATTCACAAGTATTAGAAATTCAAAATATAACCTTAACAATAACCACAATTTAATAGATTGACAACCACTGCTTAATTTATCCAAAGAGTTTTTTGCCATTTTTACAAGCCGAATAGTCCTGAAACACTTTTTAATTGCGTTAAACACGTTAAAAAAAAAAAACAAGTATCTCTACGGACTGTACTTGGCGGTAAACGATTTTTAATAACGTGAACTTTCCTAATAATATCGTATACACCACCTCCCACTGCCCAATAGAACAACTTTCTCCTAATCTTAGTTAATTAAGGTGGTGTGGAAGAGATCGCTTATTAGCGATAAGACCGCCTTATTGTTCCTATCTCTTAAGTTTTATTCCTTGTAATTTGTACCTTTTTTTTTCGATTTTTGTGGTGTACAATAAAGTATAAATAATAATATCGTCAGAACATCAAAAAATAAAACTCAAAATAAGAATCGTAACTGTTTTTATTCTCATTCGAGACTTATATTTCACTCTGTTTCATCACATGTTTTGGTGTTACGAATGTTGTTTATTGTACATTGATCAACACAATTCGATTCCACAAGCCAAGTGACGCGCATAGTTATAAAAAAGCGATCGTACGATACATAAAAAAGAAAAAAAATGTTTTATTACAATATTATTTACTTTTCACTGTTTATTTCTATGGCGCCACGTCATATGTTGCGTGAATGATGGACGAGTTGACAGATTGATTTTTTTTCATTAACGCCTTATTGAGGGAAAGGTCGCACGTGCTATCAAGGCAATCAGGTATTACGTATTTATTTAATTAGTCTTGTGTAATTAAATAGTCAATTTTGGTAATTCACTCGGCAGTTTTTAATTATCTCGAACCCCAAGCTCGTAACAGCATGGTGCGGGTAACAGCTCACGCCTATGAAGTTTCGTATTCTTTTAGATAAACTGCCATACAGATATTGTTGTACTTTATGAATGGGTACCGCCCCCTTACGATAGTGATGTTGTACGCTAAACTATGCCATGCCATAACGAACAACCACAGACTATCAAAAATCAGTGCAGTTTCGCTGTTTTATCAATCTATCAACTCGTTCCTTTCTACAGTAACATGCTTTCCATTGACAATTTCTTATATATTACATTTACTCCTCACACTTGTACGGAAGAGCATTTTAAAATACACACGCATCACCTTCACGTGTAAAATAGATCTTAAATTTTCTAATTAATTTGTCTCAATTTACAATAATTATAATAATCATTTACACATTAGCGTAAACGCTGAAATGCAATTGGTCTCTTTCACACACGCATTTACATTAAAACTACACACGTACAAAGACAAGGAAAATATTTTTTTTTGTAATGATTTAATTTGATATTTTTGTTACACTACGAAAAAATACCTGAGATCATTTTTTTTCTGATTTTTCAAGATTTATATTTTTTTTTGTCATTTATTCATTTATAGCTAGATACGATATTAATTAGAAGTAAGTATCAAATATTACGATAACTATGAAATAAACTGACAAAAATTATTTCCCACATTTTTTTTTGTATATTTTAAATAGAAATTACAAAACCCCTGACAAAGAGTTAGTCGTTTAATGAAATATATAAATTATCGCACATTCTAATACTAAGTAAATTATGTACTTTATTCTTTTAATCATCGGTGGCATTTTTTTTAGTTTTACACAAAAAATTCATTCATCCGGTCGTCTCGGCTTACATAACTTATACGCTATAATAATATGGAATTTTTTTTCGATATTTTCTTCACTTACAAACATCATCACAGTAAAAAGCTATTGAGTGGGGGGGCGGAAGCGTTCGTTCCCGCGTCTTATTCAACAATGACTTATTAAAAATATACAATTAAAGCTATGCTCGTGATAGGAGTCGAGACGTGGAAGGAACGTTTCCCCCGAAACAAAAACCACAATACTATTAAATTTTTTCAACTAGTACTTATTGACAGACTGCAATATTTTGAATTTATAATATGATTTTAATAGATTTTCTCAAAGATTTGGTTTTCTTTGAGTCGGGCAACGGTTAGAAAATTGTGATCAGACAAATGTAGGTAACGTTACTTCAACATATTTATGAAACATTCAAATAAACTTTTAACAGAAAATTGCATATAATATTTATTGTTATTTTTAATTTTTTTAGTTTTTTTTTAATACCTTGCTACTTAAACAATTGATAAATACGAATATTAGCTTAAGTAGAAAAACACATTATACAGATTTTGTCCAATCACAATATGTTTCGCATAGATAAGGTCCAATATAAAGACCATCCCCGACTAGAACGGCAACACTGTTTCAGTGGATCACGGAATTTTGACTCATTCAAAAGTGGGATCTCAACTGATCTTACCCGAGAATACGGAAGATGCGACGTCCTATTGAGTTTCCTTAAAGATGAATTTAGATTAGTTTAATATTCAAATTTTAAAGAGTTTGTAATGTTCATGAGAAACTGTACTTATTTTTAACGAAATACACTTACAATAGTTCATCGCTGTTTCCGTCCTACTATATCCTCCATTAAACCGATCGAAAGTAACAAGCAAAGCTCGAACCTGAGACCTTGCGAGCACGTCGAAGATTGCTGTACACACAGCTAAATACATCTAAATGAAAATGATTTAAAAAAAGTTGTCCCTTTGACCGAGTTAAATTAATAATAGAAAATTTTTCAGTATATTGCACAAGAGATATTTTATAGAGCCACCAAAATACCATAACGTTGGAAATCATTGGCGATCAGTCAAAAGTACATCTAAAGTTAAAAGCACCTTTATTCTGAGAGATATAGTTTTGTATTGATGATAAACAAAATGGTCTTGTCGTTAAACATATTATCCATATTAAAAACATTGGCAATATACACACTATGTACTAAATATCACTGTGTGTTCTTCGACATACAAGGAAGGCCTCCGTGATGTTCTTCGAAAGGTCACTGGACATCTCGGGGACTCTCAGTTGCTACAGTATACGGGAAGGACGGGACTTCGCGGCCAATCTGATGTCTCCTCGTTTTCGCTACTTTCGCTGCCCGATCTGTGGGAGGAACAAATCACAATATTACATCACTACAGTCTATCAAAGTCCACTGCTGGGTATGGGTCTCTCCCAAAGATTGTCTCACATTGTCGTTATATGTGCATTGCCACCAGGGGCGTAGCTATCGCCGTATCAGCCGTATCAATGATACGGGGTCCGCGGGCTACAGAACCCTGAGCATGTATAACCAAAAATTCTAAGGACTTCTATGGGACAGGATGTAGGTTTGAATTGTTTGGCTAGCTTAGTTCCTAGAAATATTAATTGTAAGTAATAACTTATAATCAATATATAATTATTTTAATTCAATGCGAGAGTTTTTGTTCCTTTTGTGAAAAATCTTTACCCTTCATTTGGGCCCCCTCTAAGGCACACTACTCCACTGATTGCCACGTTTGGAATGGGGATTGCAACCACATTTTTTTTATTACTAATGAGTTGTTACCTAAAAGATGCTGCTGTTTTATTTCCCTCTGCCGCCTCTTATGACACCCACGGGATGATTGGGATAATGAATTCTCTTAAGATTGTGAAGTGCCGATACGCGGCGCGAGTATGTATTTTCAAAATGGCTATCTGTTTCATACCACTGGCTCTGCCTCCCGTATCGTGCGACACAGAGAGAGTAGCAAGTCTTGGAAGCAATTGCCTATATTTCCTTTTTGAAATATTGTTTCGAGCGATAAAGTTTTCACCCAAGTTTTTAGTTTAATAAAAAATTATATAAATGCTTGAGGAAGTTTCTAAGTTAAAAATCATAAATATAGATATTTAGATGCTATTTTATACGTGGTAGAGCCATGCTGCAGTTATAATATGGTTGTAGCACGTATGGGTCGGCTCGACCGGGGAGGGACTACACTCTCACAGAATACCAGTGTAAAATAGCTGCTTAACGCTGCTGTGTTTCGTATGGTGAGTGTAGAGAACTGGAAACAGCTTTTACTAGTAACGAGGTATTCCATCTTAGTCCTCACGGGTGCCAATCCATCTGCGTTTTGATTTGTAATCGAAGATAAATGTAGATGTCAGATCAGATGATCAGGTGGACTGTGTGCTCGTTTGTCACCCTATCCTATAAAAAAATAACTTATATTGTATGCAATATTTATTAAAAATAAAAACATACGGACCTAGTTTCTCATTATATCTACAACATTTCCAAAAAATAATAAATTAGACCATGTTTACGGGGGGAGGAAGGAGGGGGTTTACGACGACGACACTGTTATTTTTTTTTTACAATCCTATTAAAACGCTACCATACGGCGAGAAGTTTCTAGTTCCTTATAGTTGCACCAGATAGGTGGCGCTGTTAACAAATCACCCGAGCGAAACAGGGGCGGGGATCGCTAGTATAAAATAAAAATTATTATATTAACATTGTATTATCATTATCCAATAATGGATTTCACCTCACCTGGTTCTGGTGGGCGTGCTGGCGTCAACGGCGTAGTGCTGCTCTTCGATAGTGGGCAACAGCGATGTGAGACGATCCGTTGGACGTAGCACCTGAGGACAAAGTCATTTAACTCTATCAATAGGAATACACTTTTTGGTTTATAGTGAATATAATTGGAAATGCCATGTCGAGACGGAAGAAAGAAAATTAACTACTCCATACCGTACCGCGGATTAAGAGGCTATTTAAAATGATATGAAAAAGGAGTTGGGTAGTAACATCTGCTGCCTGATAATTCAAAATAAATAAAAAAAACGCGTGGCAACTTTGGTAAATATTCCCCTTATTAAAATTATTTTGCGCGTATAATGTAGTATGTTCCGAAAATGTTCAGGGCTGATTGAAAATTAGTGTTGCAAGGGAGCGGTTTATGCTAAGATGGAATCTTTCACCACTTCGTTATATAGTACACAATTTTCGTTTTAACATGCATATAATATGTTGTATGTGTATTTATTTTTTCCAGTTTTCTTTAAACTTGATATCCCCCCTACGATTAAATGGATGGGGGAGGCTTATGTTTAGCAGTGGACATTAATAGGTTGTAATGGTAACGTCATGTGTAGATGTAAGTGTTGGAATAAATGTATATATATATATATATTTACCAGAGGCAAGTGTGACAGTTTAGCAAATGTAACAAATGCAAATTATGTGACGTTATGTGACATAAACACGTTTTTTTTGGTTAAATTCCATCTAATAAACAATGTAGGAACGTTTACGCTATTGACTATATCGACAGTTAAGTACATATAGCTTTCAACTATTTTATTGACAGACGTAGTCTTTTAAAAACTACTCAGAAAACTTGCCCCATGTGGGGAAAAATTCATTGTTGCACAAAAATGGACGTTAAAATCGTTTATGGATCTTAAAATATTTTGACATTAGTATTATCTGTTCAATTTTGTTGGAAATCACAGATAATAATAATACAACTACAAAAAGAAGCGTACTGTGACACTTGTCTCATTGATGGGGTAAGGGTGACAGTTTTCTATCTCAATTAGTTTTAATTATTTTAAATTATAAAATGGTACATGTAGATGTTAAAATGGTTGATCAAACAAACAAGCACTTAATAATTGACGTTATGAAAGTGAATTCCTTTATGTTAAATTCTTACAGAGTAGAAGTATTTAAATGTCCATCATATAGTTTTAATAAACTTATGTGACACTTGCCTCGGGTGACCTTATCACAAATATTAGAAACTATTTCAACTAGTCGTTTAGTAATTATATAATGGTAATTTATATTTGATAGCAATAAGAGTATAATCAGGCCTGTCTCACTTTGCGCTTTAGGCATAAAAATATACGTACGTAGTACGGCGCCGTATGAGGAGCTAATTCCGTGAGGATGTATCGCGTGCGCTTAAGTTGACGCGCGTATTACGTTAACAAAAATATTTTTTTCTTGTAAGTATTTAGGCACTTGATATTTATTATTGAGTTTTTATTCAAGTATGGCCTCTCAAAAAGGCCAAAGAGTAGTGCATTGCATACGGGTGCTGAAATATGAAGAGGAATGTTAGGCGGGTACCTTGAGGGTGCGCTCGGAGAGCCTCCAGACGAGGCGCTGCTTGTGCGGCGCGGCCTGGCGCGCCTCGTAGCGCTGCAGCACGCCGCGCCAGCGCCCGCGCGTCGCCACCAGCGAAGCGTCCGACATCTGCAACCACACCACCACACTCATTACTGTTGTCTATTTCACACCACACTATTAACACGAATCTGCCCGGTTATACCACTAGAACAACAGTTTTTTTTTATAATCTATACTAGACATGGGACGAGTACTCGATTTGGATTCGGTACTCGGCGGTTCGGTCTTTTTTTAGGGTTTGGCCCAGTATCGAGTATTAACGGCCGAGTACCGAGTACTCGCCCTTAATTTTATCCCAGAGAAAAATAAAGACAAAAATCCAGTTTTTATCATTATTATTATATGAGACACATTAAAACATCAGGAAGATGAGAAGCAGCAGAAATATTTAGAACGTTTTTAAAGCCGAGTATTCGGCAAAGTACTCGGCCCAATCTAGGCCGAGTACCCACCCAGTGGCCAAGTACTTGACAAATCACTACTCATTCCATTTCTAATCCTATACAAATACATTGAAGTCTGTTTGTAATGTCAAAATAACAGCTGTTTACTAAATGCATATACAATTATATACGTACTTATAACAAAAAAAAAACAATTTAATAATTTTGTCCGTTTGTTTGTTCCGACTAATTTCCACAACGGCTATAACGATTTTGACTAGATTTTCACTGACAAATACCTGATATTATAAGAAATATCTTGAATACTAAAAAATTTAGAAAAAAAAAAACATTAGAATACCAGGCAAATAATTTAAACCCATAAAATTGTGAACAATATCCCATTCAAACAGAGAAGTATAATAATAATTTAATAAAAATGATTCTATGCGAACAAAGTCATGGACACAGTTAATACAAAAGTATATTTACAATGCCAGTTTTAATTAATCATTTATTTTTCTAAGTTAAAAAGTCTTCAATATCATTGTGATCTGAACACAATCATCAATAAAATATAAAGTATGAAAGAATGACATAGAATACAGTACACAATGATTCCTATTATTTTGTTCTCGCCTTTATGAAATGCTTCGTGCTCACACTTGCCTACTTTTCTGAAGACAATGCACTTCTACCACGTATTTTTTAAACTCTGCACACATATTTTTTTTTAAAAAAATCCTATAAATTAATTACTTTAAATTTTCAAAAACTACTAAAACTAAACAATTATACCGCAATTATTAGACATCCAGCCAATTTAAAAAATGATAATATAAATAAAAATAATACATAGACTTACTTCTTACAAATAATTTTGGAGAAAAAAAATCGGTCTAATTTTGAAGAAGCAAACAGGATAATGACTTATAATTTTTATTTTTAATTAGATTTAAATTAGTTTATATAATCATTTCATAAAATTTCTATAGAGTTGTACAATTAACATAAGTCAATTAAATACTATTTCAGAGTTGTCAAAAATACAATTAACCAAAGTATGTTGTCAGTGAAAACATGTGGAACTGAGATATAGTCTTTTTGGCTGGCTGTATAAGGAAAGAAGCTTTTGTTCTTTGTGAGCGCTACAGGGAGGAATTTCTCTACATGATGGAATTCGTAATATAAATATCTATCGGAATAGTTTAGTAGAGACTTACGTTTAGCAATGGACTCGTATTAATGATAATATATGGCTATAATGATGATGATGGCGACGATAAATACATTTATTTTATTTGAACTTTATTGAACCTTACATATTAAGTACAGGATCAAAAAGCAGACTTAATGTTTAAAGCTTTCTCTACCAGGCAACCTTAGAGCAGTGATAGAACACCAAAGGTGGTTACAAAGTAATTAAATATATATATATATATATAAATACACACCTACGTATACATATTATACATACATATGCATATATCTATAGAAATAAATAAAATTTAAGTGTCTGTTTGTAATGTCAAAATTACAGTTTGTTACTAAATGAATATGAAAGTATATACGGTACTTATAACAAAAACAAAATTGTTAAATTTTTTGTCTGTCTGTCTGTTTGTCCCGGCTTATCTCCGAAACGGCTGGACCAATCTTGACGGGACTTTCACTGGTAGATAGCTCATGTTACAAGGATTAACTTAGGCTACTTATATTTTTTTAAAAAAAATTAGGGTTCCGCGCAACAAAACTAAAACCCTAAATTACACGTGGGCGAATTCGCGGGGAACAGGTAGTACACAAATATATGAATTTATATATTATAAGAAAATATAATATAACACAAGATACATAAAAATACGTATGTTTACATTAATTCTGAGTGAAACTTGTACTCACATTACAGTAGGCTTGCAGCTGGGAAGCAAACTCGTACAAGTAGTACAGCTCATCGGACACCGCGTTGTGCCTCGCCCACTCTGTCAATTGCTTTTCTGTACGACGAAAAATATACACATGAAACTATCAAGTTACAGCCTATATTATATGTCCCACGGCTTTTCATTCTCGAGAGGGTTATGAACAGTAAGTAGTAAGTAACTTAGACTGCTCCGTGGCGCAGTGGCTTAGCAATGAGTTGTTGCGCTGGGGGCCGCGGGTTCGAATCCCGCACGGAACAAGTATTTGTATGGCCTACAAATAATTGTCCCGGGTCTGGATCTTTGTCTTTGTGCAATTTATGTTTGTAAACAGCCTCCACGACACAAGAGAAAATCCTAGTGGGGGGTAAGGTTTTTATTAATAAAAATTAGTAAAAAAAAATAGTAAAATTAGTAGCACACAAGCTAAGCGCTTGCTATAAATATCACAACACTCTAGTAACTAGGAGTAACTCTACAATGTAACTGTAACTAATATCTCGGAAACAGCTTCAACAATTTGAATGAAATTTTGTATTTAGTTTTTATTTTTATTTATAAAACCTATTCTAATGTATCGTGGAGGCAGTTTACATACATAAATTTAACAAGAACAAGCATCCAGACCCGGAACAATTATTTATAAGGCATAGAAATACTTGAGAATTCGAACCCGCGGCCCTCAACGCTGCAACTAACTAGCGGAACCATCAAAATAATATTTTACTCTCCAAGTTTATCTAAATAGATGTCATCCAGCAGCAACAAATAAAAATTTCAGCAGGGGTAGCAGGTACTGCTATTTTAAAAATTAATTAACATTTATAAATGTTGATAAAATGTCTCCAATGGTGATATAAATACATAGATGCAGTCAACACAGCCAGCAGATGGCTTAAGATGTCATGAAAATCTACCAAAGACATATTATGAAGAAAATATTAACATGTTTTATTTTGTATGTATAAGGTACGTGAGGGTAATATGAACTTGTATAAAAAGGGTTATTATAATATTAAGGAATATATGGATGATAATAACTCCCAGGAATGAGGTGATCGCTACCAAGCTATTCCTAATTTGTTGTGTTGTTAATTGTGTATATACATGATCGTAAACTGTTTTTTAAAAAAAGTCCCACTGGGTTTCTTGCCAGTTCTTCCCAGGACAGAGGTTTTTTTTTTCTAACTAGTGGTAATTAAACAAAAGAGTGACTTTCAATAAGTATTATATAATCTGTATTGAATAAAAAGGCTTCTGTTTCTGTCGTTTTGGAGATATTATTTTTTTATTTAAATCAAATAAAAACAATTATTCGCTTACCAAGTTGATGATAGACAAGTACTAGTGCCAACTCGCTGGGCCGAGCGTTGGCGCAGCCCGCATCGCAGATCGCTATCTCCAGAAGATTCACCAGTTCGTTTTCCTGTTAGAAACAAAATTAAATGAGAATTATGAAAATAAAAACGCACTAATTTGCCTTTTTAAATATATTTCCAATAATTTTATAAATTATAAGTAGAACCTTTACACGAACTCACTGTATGATTGTTTCTGTATTTTGTTGTGTTTACATAAATAAAAAAAAACCAAGGTGAGGTTATGCGCCATAAGGCACAAATATTTATATATCAAATATATATGTATGTAAATTATTCGACCAAAGATGAAAATGTGTATTATTGCAAATGACTATTATTTCGAACATTAATCTACAAACATTGTATAAATAATGTATGTAAACCAATAAACACAGTGTGTGTATGCATACGTGCGTGCGCGCGCGCGTGTGTGTGTGTGCGCGCGCGCACGCGTGTGCGTGTGTGTGTGTGCGCACGCGTGTGTGTGTGCGTGCGCGTGTGTGCGTGTGTGTGTGTGCGTGCGTGTATATGTGTGATTAAGTTGTACATGTAAGCGAACAGCATAGAATGCGTACAAACGGCGTAATATGCATATACGCTGTTATTAAAAACCCTGTGGTTCCCGTTAAGTGCGTTATCAGGGAATAGGATAATATATATGGTAATGTTGACGAGCGCGTGTCGTTATAGGAAAACTAATTCTGCCGATACCAACTCGAAACGGTACAACAAGCGCAGTGTGTACGCGGCCGTGTGCGAGCGGGACGCAAGATAGGCGCGTGCGCGTGTGTGCGAGCGAGAGGGAGCGAGTGCAGACGTACCGGCGGCTGTGCGGGCGCGAGCGTGCGGAAGAGGCGCAGCCAGTGCAAGGGCGTGACTGCACGCGCGTTGTTGAGCGCCAGCTTGTCGGCCAGCACGCGCGACATGCGCGCCACGTCGCGCCACGTGCACGCCGACTGCGACACCGACACTGTCAACAATTACATTTTCACTTAATCTACATAACGTTCTTAATTTAAGGTAAATATTCGGATAATATAATGTCCCACACATTCGCTCTTACAACTATAAGGCCCGTATTAATAAACGTTACTCAACGACGAACTCAAGTGCGTAATCATTTAATATACCCTCATTACGATATCAGTATCTCAAGATCGTTGCTAATTAATAAACACATAAAAACAGTATCTCAAAACGCTGTACTTAGAAATACTGTTCTGTGACTTGCACTCAAGTACACACACTTGAAATTCGAGTTTCGTTTATTAATCAGTTTGGCACTCAGCTGATACCGTAAACCTAAACCGTATCTTGAGATCTGTTTATTAATAATATAATAACCTCAATATTGTACTCAAGTGCGTGTACTTGAGCGGAGTAACGTTTATTAATACTCTACTCTACTATACTCTACTCTACTACCTCTAGAACGAAATACCTATTGCCATTAAAAAAACTTCCAACAAGTTTCTTTTCAAAACGAAATTCGATGACCATTTTAGTAAAGCATTGCAAGTGTGAATTAAAGTTTTTTTCCTAAAGAATGCTTCTATCGTCACATATTTTCCTTATTTATCATGGCATATCATAAATATACATATAATAAATATATATCTAATGTATTTTCAAGTGATATGTTCTTTAAAATCGTTGTGATTTAAAACTCGACAAAAGGAAAATGTGACAGTAAAAAGAGACAAACATATACATCTATACATCTATAGGAATTAGTCTGCGAAAGAATAAGACAGAATACAGTGTTTCCTATCATGTCCGTCTACTTTTCTGATGATTTCCCTTGTACCGCGCGTGAACTGCACATACCATGTTTTTTTCATGCATAGTTTTTACCATACGTGTAAGAATACGTACTGTATATTTTTGTGATGATTTTATGATGTGGGCAGTTCACGCGCGGTATATAACTAAATCGCACTGTCTAGCGTAACAAAAGCCTATTCACTCTTGCCTTGAACACGCCCAAAATGTATTCGGACAGAAAGATAAGACACATATTGAAGATGGGCTTAACCTTAACATACTATGAGTTAGGATATGAACGCAGGGGAGGCGAGAGAGGTGTCAGAAATTGTCAAATGAAAATCCGTACTCCCTGCCTACCCCTCTGGACGACAGGCGTGAGTGTTTATGTATTGTGTATGTATGCCTATAAAAAATATCTTTATTTAAACAAATACTGAACCATCTAAACAACCACGCTGTAGAATTTAATGTCGCCAGCGGTTTTTCCAGACCGAATCGACTTAGGATAGACTTTCAAGAAAAAGTGATTACTTACTCATCGGGTGAGCCGTATGCTCGTTTGCATTCTATTACATAAAAAAACTATCTGAGACTTCTGGACTTACCCAGCTCTTCAACGGAGACCGTCCTGGGCTGGTTAGTGATCTCGGCGTACTCATCCAGCGCCACGTTCATGCACGAGACGGTGATGCACGGCACGTGACACGGACGCACCTTCATTTTTGTTAGGAATCTGAAAAGCAAAATATTAATTCATGTATTATATTGTAAAGTCACGCTTTGGCAGTTTTGACTTTACCATAGATGAGAGGACTCAACCGAAGAACGATTATAGTATGTGAGGGTAATATGGTCATCCGGTTAATATGGTCACTTTCTTAGAACTCAAAAACTAATTGTTTGCATAGATGGCTCTGTGATACGATAGCTCTTCATCAGTCAATCAAAATATAAAGTGTATTTAGCTTTTCATAAGTTGATTTTTCGAAGTGTTCCTAATTATTAGCAAAGCTCGTTTGCTATTTTTTTCTTAATATATTAGTTATAGTAAACGACTTTGTGTTTTTGTTTCTGTCCTCCTCCTAGTTTTGGTTTTATATGGCGGCAAAGCTTAAGGTGACCATATTACCCTCACGTACCTTATATAATAATAATTATTTTATTTTCGACCAATGAGGGCTAACAATATTCCGCTCACCAGATGTCACTTGTTGCCATTGTAGTGTTTTTGTTACACAATGTTATTTTAAACGTGAAGTTGGTTTTAAATAAAAAAATATGATTTTCTAGAGTATTATATTAATACACAAAACAACGCCTCAGTGTGCTCTTTAATTTTTTGCATATTATATTTAATTTTTTTTAATTTTTCAACGTTTATGAATATCTGTGGTTCAGTTTATTTATTTTTAATCTAATTAATATAAAACATAACTAATTAATAGAAACATGAACCTAAAAAATCTGTCAAATATTTTGCCACCAGGGCGGCGCCACTTAAAAATGACGTATAATAAAGTCGCCCTCATTATCCATATTGGTAATAATTTATAATCTAAAGATTATTTAACATCATCCATCCATCCATTACAGCCTATAATAGTCCATTGCTGAACATAGGCCTCACCCACAGATTGCCTCATTTTGCCATAAATGCCACATTTCCCAGGCTGGTTGGCAACAGCATTTTATGTTATTTGTAGTTGTTGTCAGTAAGATATCGCCTCCATCACCTAACTTTTAATAGGCCATTACGGATAATGTTGTTATTTACTTATTTAATAACTGTTTTTGAAGTGAAGACTTCGTTTTTAATCGTGGTGATTTGAATCTTGACCAAACATATACATCTACAAGACAAAGCCTACGGACGAATGAGATAGAATACAGCATAGTGTTTATTATAAATTCCGTCTGGGGTGGATAAACGAACACGCGTTTCCGACTATCCACCCTGGGGTGGATTTCTTAGGGTGGATTATAAACGGAATGACCCATTTTTTCCAAAAAAAAAAAAGGTGCAAAAATATACTTAGTGCCTTTGGGAAATTCAGGAAAAAAGTAAACATAAATTTTTAATCCTTATGTATTTTTCCATATATAGGTTATTTATTATTGCTCTCCGCTTTGGCCATCAACCTTTGAAATAATTATAGGAATCTGATGAATTTAGATTCATATTAAAATAAATTATAATTCATTTTTAATTAATAGTAGGTATTATGAATAAATAGTATTTTTTTCTTTTACGTCTCATTTTCGCCGCCGCGCCACCCCAGTCACAATACAAGTCACAAATATCAATCGGTCCGCTAGCACCAAGTTGGTGCTAGCGGACCGATTGATGCTTGGTGCCACCAAGCGCATCGGAATTTAGAATCACTAGTGTAGTGAAATGAATGCAAATTAAGTAAACAGGTTTAAACTTGTCGCGGCACGCGCCATCCCTTTAGCTACCTGCGTAATAAACCGTGTTTTTACGTTCTCACATTACGCGGTAGAGCAAAGCTGCACCTATATTTTCTTTACGTGGTAGAGCCAAGCTGCAGTTATATTTATAGTATAGTTGTAGCACGAATGGGTCGGCTCGACCGGGGAAGGACCACGCTCTTACAGAATACCAGAGTAAATTTTTTTTATGGGATAGGGTGACAAACGAGCACACAGTCCACCCGATGGTAAGTGGTTGCTGTGGCCCATAGACATCTACATCTATCCTCGTTTGCGAATCAAAATGCAGATGCGTTGTCAGCCGTGAGGACTAAGATGGAATGCCTCTTTTCCAGTAAAAAGGGTCTCCGGTTCTCTACACTCACCATACGAAACACAGCAGTGTTAAGCTGCTATTTGACGCTGTAGTACCTTAGTAAATAGCACCTTATCGCTGCTAAAGAGGCATTCCATCTTAGTCCTCACAGGTGATAATGCATCTGCATTTTGATTCGCAAACGAGGATAGATGTAGACGTCTATAGACTACAGCAACCGCTTTTATTTCTATATAAAAAAAGTTCTCAATTCATTTTTGTTCCAAACAAAATGTTATACAAGGAACCGTTCCAAACGTTTTAAAAACATTATTTTTAATAATGTCATTGAGCCCTGGACTGAACGGCTCCCTTTCTTCCAAGGAGTCGTTCTGGATAGGCACCACCCTCTTAACTAATTCCGACGTCATGCGACAGTTCGTGCACTGCTGTTCCAGTCCAAACTGCTGTACAGGCGTAGTTATACTGGCTCTCCTTCGGACTTGTGAGGCAATCCATCTTAGTGCTCAGATGTGACAAAGTATTTGTATCTGCTATTTTTAAAGCAGCTGGTAGGTGTCCACGGAGTGCAGTAGCAACTTACCATCGAGCTAGCTAGCTAGTTTCGCTTGTCACTTCAATTTCTTGAATGATAATAGGAAACATTCTATACTGTATTCTATCTCATTCTCTCACAGGCTAAATCCTATAGATGTATATGTTTGTCTCTTTTCAGTTTCATCGAGTTCACAAATCACAACGTTTCTAAAAGTACATTTCACTTCAAAAAGAAGAAGAATATAAAGTGGCGAGATGGAAGCGTATCCGCTTACCTGTCAAACAGATTGATAGCGCTGATGAGTACGTCCGGCGGTAGATCGAACCAAACCTTGAGACAGCGGAGCACGTGTGCAGCGCCGTCTCTCGCGCCGATCGTCACCTCCCCGCTCTGAAAAACACGTTCATTGTAAATTTTGTTGCAGTAGGAATAGTGCACCATCAAGAGCTATATATATTATAACTGATATGTTGATTGATTACTCTGGGGAGGGTTTGCCGCGTACTGGCGGCATAAAGAAGCGACTATGACCTAATATTATATATATATATATATATATGTGGTAGAGCCATGCTGTAGCTAGATAATGGTTTGTAGCACGAATGGGTACTGCTCGATCGGGGAAAGACAACGGTCTCACAGAATACCAACGTAATGCTGCTGTGTTTCGTATGGTGTGTATAGGGAACCGGGGACCCTTTTTTTTTACTGGAAACGAGGCATTCCATCTTAGTCCTCACACGGGTGACAACGTATCTGCATTTTGATTCTTATTCGAGGATAAAATGTAGACGTCTATGGGCCACAGCATCCACTAACCATCAGGTGGTCTGTGTGCTCGTTTGTCACACTAATTCAATAAAAAAAATATCGTTTGTCATTTCAATTATATTAAAAATATAAAACTGTCAATTGTACATTTGCTAAATTTGGAAGCAGACGACGCCATCAAGCGTTTCAAACAGTGACCAATGCCATTCCGTTTATCACTGTTCATTGGGTATGAAGTTAGTAAATAGCACTCATTCTCTACGATAACCTCATTTAAACAGATCGATAAAAACGTTTTCATACATATTTGGGTCATGGCGATAGCTAGGGTTGTCAATAATTTCCAGAACAAATATTGTTATCTGGAGTATGTAGTAAGTAAGTATAGAAAAATCGATGTGACACAAATAAAAAATACAATTTAATTTCTTATGCCTGGTGGAGACATGGTATGGGTGACCAAGCAAGCATACAGTTCACCTCTTTAGGCACAAAATGTTAGTATTTTTGGAGTTTTTATAACGGACTAAAAGTATAATTGTTTTTCATATTTTTCTGTGTATGGTGAGTGTAGAGAAGCGGGGGACCTTTTTACTGGAAACGAGGCATTTCATCTTAGTCCTCACGGGTGACAACGTATTTACATTTTGATTCTTAATCTAGAATAAATGTAGTTATCTACGGGCCGCAGCATCCACTTACCATTAAGCGGACTGTGTGTTCGTTTGTCACCCTTATGTGTATAAAACAAACGTGGTACCTATATTAAAAGAAATATGCATAACTTGTATAGAGTTTTCTTAGCGTTAACAATGGTGTAGAAAGTTAACCCGGCTAGGTTCGTCGCAGTTTAAATTTTCGCAACGCAAATAGTAAAACAGCGTGTGTACAAATTTTCGCAAGCGACGGCCTCCGCGTTATGCAAATAAAGGCACCTGGCGAGGTCGTAACCGGCCGCTCCATTGTCGACTTACCGTTTTAAATTTTAATGTATTGAAGCAAGCCATATGAGGCATAATGTTATATTAACTCTTCATTTTTATTTTCTATACTACATGTTCCCTGCGATTTCGTAATTTATTACGATTGCATTTCATGGGTTTTAATTTTTTTTTGCGCGAAAATAAAAGTAGCCTTTTACACGTGGTAGAGCCATGCTGCAACTTATATTAGCAGTATAGTCGTAGCACGATTGGGTCACAGCTCGACCGGGGAAGGACCACGCTCTCACAAAATACCAGCGTTAAATAGCAGCTTAACACTGCTGTGTTTCGTATAGTGAGTGTAGAGAACCGGAGACCCAATTTACTGGAAAAGAGGCATTCCATCTTAGTCCTCACGGATGACAACGCATCTGCATTTTGATTCGCAGACGAGGACAGACGTAGGTGTCTATGGGCCACAAAAACCACTTACTATCAGGTGGACTGTGTGCTCGTTTGTCACCCTATCCTAAAAAAAAAGAGAAAAAAAAGAAAGCCTATGTTACTCCTTGTAACATCAGCTATCTGCCAGTGAAAGTCCCGTCATAATCGGTCCAGTCATTTCGGAGATTAGCCGGAACAAACACACAGACAAAAAAAATTGACAATTGTGTCCTTGTTATAAGTACCGTATATACTTTTATATGCATTTAGTAACAAACTGTAATTTTGACATTACAAACAGACACTTCAATTTTATTTATTTGTATAGATGTATAGATATTGAACAGTAAAACCAATAAATTTAAGTATACTTAATTATGTAATGTTACCCAGTTTGATAGACCAATTACAGCTATCCACATTCTTCAAATAAAGCATTACATTTTTTTTATAGATTAAGGGTGACAAACGAGCAGACAGTGTATCTGATAAGTGAATGCTATATTGCCCATTGCCATCTACATCTGTCCTCGATAAATAATCAGAATGCAGACGCGATAACGCATCCCTGACGACTGAGATAGAATGCCTCGTTTCTAGTAAGAGGTATCCGATTCTTTACGATTACTCGTCATACGAAACACACCATTAAACTGCTGTTTTAAGCTGGTATTCAGGCTTTAAATACACACAAAAACTTATACCTATCACACACACACGTGTGTGTGTGTTTAGTTAGATATTATTTACACAATTATATACTATAAGGTGTAAATAATAGCTGTATTCCTGGAAAGCCTGTATAAACATAAATATTGCAACTTTACAAATGTCCATGGTGGGTATTAGTCACTATCAAATGGAGTTCCTTTGCCACTCAAAAATTTAAAAACAAAAAATGCGCCATGTACAACGGCCCTTATTTTCCCGACTACGCGACGCGACGCTTTCCCCTACGCTAACACATGGACAAACAGCTGTTGTGTAACACGTCTCGAAACAGCTGCTCGAAAAATTAAATAAATCTGATATTTCGAAATGCGCGCGTAGCTCTGTGACGCGTGAGATCTCTAAAAAATGAATTTCGGGGTCAAGTAAAGATGGGCGCAATCATTGTTGGACGTGTGGTTTTGTTTCACTTAAGACTAACAGGTTGATACCAACCTAGACGGACTTTGTGACGGGTGGGTTTATTTTATTTAAGAGTATGATACCAACCAACCCAGGCAGACCGTGACGCGTGAGATTTCTAAATGAATTTCAAAGTGAACTAATAACGATAAGCGCAGTCGTTATTGGATGGGTGATTTTAATTTTTTACCAGACTTTTTCTACAGCTGTCACCTACCATCTAGGTTATTGTTAATATTCTATCATCATCATCATCATCATCATTACAGCCCTTCACAAGTCCACTGCTGAACATAGGCCTCCCCCAAAGAATGCCACAAAGCACGGTCCTGAGCCACCTGCATCCATCGACTTCCTGCATATCTTACCAGGTCGTCACTCCATCTAGTGGGGGGACGCCCTACACTTCGCCTGCCGGTACGAGGCTGCCACTCGAGAACCTTTCTTCCCCATCGGTTGTCGGTTCTTCGAGCTATATGGCCGGCCCATTGCCGCTTCAGCTTACTAATCCGTATGCTATGCTCGGAGTTTCTCTGCGTGATAAACTCAGAAATGAGGATATCCGCAGTAGAACTAGAGTGGCCGACATAGCCCAACGGATTAGTAATATTCTAATATATAAAAAATAATTGTTTGTTCGTATTTTATGCGCTGCCATACCGTTCATCAGATTGCGCTAAAACTTCGTCAACTTATTGCTTGCACTTGCGCGAAGGTTATAGTAGGCATGGTATAATTAACTTACAGTAGGTGGCACGCGCGTCGTACCGAAAACTGTTTGTTATATTTCATTAAACTTCAATTATGTATTATCATTCCTAATTAAACTATACTACATTTCCAAATTTAAAATGATATTTCCACAGTTTTTTTTTTTTATAGGATAAGGGTGACAAACGAGCACACAGTCCACCTGATGGTAAGTGGTTGCTGTGGCCCATAGACATCTACATTTATCCTCGATTACGAATCAAAATGCAGATGCGTTGTCACTAGGGTTGCCAGATGGTCGGGATTCGTCTGGATTCTCCCGACATTTTAAATGATCTCCCGACTCCCGACAAAACTCAAAATCTCCAGACAAACAGCTCCTCGAAATGTTAATAATTTAAAATTGAAATGTAACCAAAACGAAATAATGAAATTTAAAAAAATTATATCTATTATGTTGTCAATTCTTGTAAGCAATGCTTATTGTGAAAGGGTATTAAGTTTACTAAATAATTTATATACTAAAGAGAGAAATCGTATGGCTATTGACTTAATAAAAGCTGGGTTACTAATTAGAATGAACTTTGAGGAAAATTGTTTAAATTTTAAATCTTTTCTGAATACCACTAAAGGATCCAAATTGGTGGATTCAGTAAAGTCCAATGCCCAATACCTGTGGCAACCTCAAAATTAAGTGTAGTTACATTAATTATCTGTCAACAATGTTAAGTATATTTGTATTGTAGCCCATTAATTTAAAAAATCATATTTTTGTTTTACATTTTTATTTTTAACATTTACAACATTTCATTAACAGTGGATTGCGGAAGCCCGTCTACATTGAATGTATGTGGAGGAATGAATGATAAGATGGATGAAGTATGTGATATGATGCATGATAGAGGAAATAGACGTGTTATGTGTAAATGAGACGAAACGGAAGGGAAAGAATGCCACTACACATGGCATGAATACCGCGTACTGGTCTGGTGTAGACGAGACCAAGCGGGCATGCCAGGGAGTCGGTATCATCCTTTCAGAAAGAATGGGTCATTGTGTGAAAGAGTATGAATGTGTAAGCCCGAGACTGCTATGGATACGAATTAAAGTGGGCTTAAAGAAGTTGTTTGTTTTATGGGTCTACGCAGACATATATAAGCCCACATATATCCGAGAGCAGTTTTGGGAATTGGTAAGGATGGTGCTAATGAAATGCAAGGTTAATGAAAATATTGTGATATTAGGCGATTTTAATAGAAGGGTTGAGGTGAGGAGGCTTGGTTATGAAAGGATATTGGGAACGTTTGGTGATGAAAGTATAAATGAGAATGGTGAAAGCCTTCTCGCCGTATGCGTGGAAAATAATCTTTTTGTGACGAACACTTTCTTTCGTCATAAGAAGATTATACATGGGAAAGAGGTGATGATAGAAGTATGATAGATTTCAGAATTGTTGATGAAAGAATGAGGAGCGCGGTGGTAGATACAAGGATTTACCGGGGCTCTAACGTAGGGACGGATCATTACTTGGTCTTATGCTGAATTAATGGTCTTTTCAGACGTTGGAGGCATCGGACATCTGTGACTACCAACTGCGTTACAGCATATAAGAACAGAGAGGTTAAAAGATGAAGGTGTGAAAGAGAAGTTCAAATGTAGATTGAGAGAAAATATAAGTGGTATGGCTGAATTGTGTATGAATGATTTAGACTTGGAGACTGTGGAAGGATTTACCGGGGCTCTAACGTAGGGACGGATCATTACTTGGTCTTATGCTGAATTAATGGTCTTTTCAGACGTTGGAGGCATCGGACATCTGTGACTACCAACTGCGTTACAGCATATAAGAACAGAGAGGTTAAAAGATGAAGGTGTGAAAGAGAAGTTCAAATGTAGATTGAGAGAAAATATAAGTGGTATGGCTGAATTGTGTATGAATGATTTAGACTTGGAGACTGTGGCATAATGTCAAGAAAGGTTTAGTGGATGCAGCTACCGAAGTATGTGGTGTAAGTAAGAGAACGAATGAAAGGAAAAAAACAATCATGGTGGGATGATGAGGACGGATGGAAGTTGAAGCAAAGAAGAAAGCATGACTAGATTTACTAGCAACCAAGGCTAGTAATTCTAGCAGTATGAATGATGATATTGAAAGGAAAAAGGCAGTCTTTAGACACCTAAATAAGAGAGTAAAAGAAGTAGTTGAAAGGAAAAAGCGAGAAAGAACGGATAAGAATGATAGAAGAATATCGGATAACTTCCAGGCAAACATTAAAATGTTCTGGAAACTCGTAAGAACTACCAGGGGACATTCAAAACAGCCTAGAATGAATGCTATACGAGACCAGAATGGCTGTATTCTGAATGACGAAGTTTTGAGTTTAAGGAGATGGAAGGAATACTTTGAAAGCGTGTTTATGAGTGATGAGACGTTTGAATTAAATGAAATAGAAATTCCGAAAGAAGAGGAAATAGATAGAGATATAAGTATAGATGAAATAATGTAAGCAATGAAAAGTATGAAAGCAGGTAAGGCAGCCGGTTATGATAGAGTATCTCTTGAAATGCTAAGGGCTGGAGAAGGGGTGGTGGCAGACCTGCTGTACACCTTGTTTAAATTATGTTGAGAACTTAAGCGGGTACAGGGAGACTGGTGCAAGGTGATAGTTCCAATATACAAAGGATCACAGCAGGACTGCCGTGGTATCAGCCTTCTTAGCATTGTGGGAAAACTGTATGCTAAGGTACTAATTGAAAGAGTTATGGAAGAAACTGATGGAAAAATTTGGGATGTGCAAGCGGGATTTAGAAAGGGAATGGGATGTACGGATCAGGTCTTTTCCATGCGCATGATCTCGGAGAAGTTTTTGGCCAAAAACCAAAAAGTTTTTTGTGCGTTCATGGACTTGGAGAAGGCTTGTGACAGAGTGGACAGGGATGTGTTATGGCAAACACTGAACTCATTTGGGTTGAGCGCTGGCTTGATACAGGCATTGAAGTCTCTATATAGGGACTCTAGTGCTTGTGTCAGGATCAACGGGGCCTACTCGCACTGGTTTGGCATCCATAAATGTGTCAGACAGGGCTTCCCCGTGGCTGTACAACCTATTTATGGACAATTGTTTGGACAATTGTTTGCAGTAGAAGAATGCGGGTTAAGAATGGGTGAGTTAACCGTCAAATGCCTTTTGTACGCCGATGATCAAGTCATACTTACGTCGGCAGCCGAGTTGCAAATGATGGTTACATTAACGAACAGGAAATTTAAAGAAAAGGGAATGAAAGTAAACGCAAGTAAGACGAAAGTTATGGTTTTTGAAAGAGAAGAAAGTAAAACGATATGCGAAATAAGAATAGAAGGGGAGTTGGTAGAGCAAGTAGATGAGTTTGTGTATTTGAGATGTGTGTTTAGCAGGGATGGTAGATATGATGAGGATATAGAACGACGAGTGAATGCAGGAAATAGAGTGAATAGGGCTCTACACTCTATTGTGAAAAGTCAGAATGTGTCCAAAAAGGCACGTATGGCAATTCACAATGCTGTGTTAGTACCTACTTTAATGTATGGTAGTGAAAGTTGGGTGTGGCAGAAGAAGCACGAGAGTAGAATAAATGCTGTAGAAATGCGGTCATTAAGTGAGAAATTGTTTAATAAGAGAAGAGTGTGGTTTGCAAGATGATGTTGTGACCAGGATTAAGAAAGGAATGCTTCGGTGGTTTGGTCATGTAGAAAGAATGAATGAGGAAAGAGTGACAAAGCAAATTTATGTTGCAGAGGTGAACGGCAGAGTCGGGAAGTGTCGCCTTAGGCGAAAATTTATCGACCAAATTGGCGATATATTGAAAATGGGCCAAATCAAGAGTACCTTTAACCGACGAGCGTGTATGCGTAGGTATATGGATGTGAGAGAGGTGTGTCAGGATCGTACCAAATGGAAGTCCATAGTCTCTGCCTACACCTCTGGGTGACAGGCGTGAGTATTTATTATGTTATGTTTTAACATTTATTTCTCCCGACAACAACCCCAAAATCCCGACATTTTCAAATTTTGTCCAGATATTTTGGTCTTCCGATCTGGCAACCCTAGTTGTCACCCGTGAGGACTAAGATGGAATGCCTCGTTTACAGTAAAAAGGGTCTCCGGTTCTCTACACTCACCATACGAAACACAGCAGCATTAAGCTGTTATTTTACGCTGGTATTCTGTGAGAGCATGTCTCTTCCCCGGTCGAGCTGACCCATTCGTGTTACAACTATACCAGAAATATAGCTGCAGCATGGCTCTACCACGTAACAAAACAGTTATTTCTTCTGAGGCAGCAACGCGCCTGGGTACCAGCTAGTTATTTTGCAAAAACCGGACAAATTTGCAGAGATGATTCAGAATAAGTAATATAGGCAAATGGTGAAAAAAACTCCAACATTTTGTCCTTTTTATTTTTTAAATTCAGAAATGCGTGGTAATGCATTATTTTAACTGATTTTACCTCGCACTCACACATTCGTACGGGTCGATCGGTAGGTAAAAATGTTGTTACACATAAATCACATTCAATTTGGAATAATTTCAAATAAAAGTAGAAGCCTTATTTACTCGTATTTTCAAAAACTGCAGTAACGGTATATCATTATTTATATATAAAGTAAGTTTAAAATTTGACGACTCTAAAAAAATAACCCTGTATATAATAATACACTGTCCGCATTAGGTCAGCCCTGAACATAAAAGTTTTAGCATAATATATCCCAATAGTCTATTGGTGACAGAAAAACAATAAAACTACGATCGTTTCTATGATACGGGGTCACATAACGGACGGACAGATAAGCTTGGCTTTCAATATACATATTTATACATGCCGTGAACACTACACCTGTGACCGAATACATTTCGAACTTTATATTACCCGACCAGAAGGAGGACAATGTTTTTAGAGAGTATGTACGTATTTCTTTGGCACGCCTCTGTAGCCTAAAGATGATATATGGATTTTGATGACGTAAAGTTGACGTTACACTCGTCTTGATTGTGTGAGTGACATAGGCTATAATTTTTTTCTCTTTTCAGCAAACATTTTTACGCAGATGGGCTTTTTTAAATCACCGTTTTAAACAATAGGACTTGTTTATATAGAAGGGCGAGAAACGAGCACACAGATTACCTAATGGTAAGTGAATGTTGCATTTTTATTTATATCAAACATAAAATTTAAGACGGAATGCTTCGTCACCAGTAAAAAGGGTCTCTAGTTCTCTACGCGCACCATACGAAACACAGCAGTGTTAAACTGCTATTTTACGCTGGTATTCTGTGGGAGCGTGGTCCTACCCTGGGCGAGCCGATCCATTCGTGCTACAACTATATTATAGCTGCAGCGTGGCTCTACCACGTAACATTATGCTATTTCAAGTTGGTATCCTATTTTAATTTTTATAAAAATTGTTTTATTCCGAACCAGCGGTTAATGTAAAAAATTGCTTTTAATAAGAATTACATGTAATGAAAAAAATATATATTCTATTCTATTCCATTAAATGAGAACATACACTTCTTGCTCTATCACGTACAAATCATCCATATCGCGTTTAATTTCAACCTATTTCATTCCCAACGTTTTGGGTGCTTTTTTTACAGCACCCATGATCCCGTTACTTTCAATTAGGCCCGCCACATACATACGGAATTCCGTTTCGAGATTCCGTTTCGGAATTCCGAACGGTCGGCCACACACAAACGGAATCTCGTTTTGCCCGCAAAATATCGAACGGAAAACGACCGTACGTGTGTGGCGGGTCATAGATTTTATATGGACTTGCTGCTTTCGGGATTCCGAATCGGAATATCGAAACGGAATCCCGAAACGGAATTCCGTATGTATGTGGCCGGCCTTAATGTGTAGTATTTGCGTTAAAGTTAAAAAGTTTAAGTTACAGTTAAAGCCCTTTCAAAAATGAGAGGAGGCCTGTGCCCAGCAGTCCCACTACTGTGCACAGGCCTCCTCTCATTTCTGAAAGGGCTTTAGGGCGAGGAAGTGTCCGCCGCGCTACTCTGATGCGTGTTGGCGAACTTCACATGTCTTCGAATTTATTTTCTTATTTCTCAGACATGCAGGTTTCCTCAGGATGTTTTCCTTCACCGCCGAGCACGTGATAAATCAGTATTTAAAAATGCAATTAAAAATTTCATTGGTGCCGGTGGGGATCGAACCCGGGTTGCCCGCGTACTGTGAAATTTACAGCGAGCGCTAACCACGAGCTATCACGGCTCTTATTATTATATATTATCATCATGGCTATTATTCGCGTAAATGTAAGAAATCGTTATCATTCATCTAAAACACAACCAGATCCACTGACCTCCGAGTCTTCCGGGAGACACAAGCGCGGCTGGAACTTGTACTCGAGCTGAAGGTACTCGTTGAGCGTCGCGTACAGCTGCTGCTGCTGCATTTCGCCGTCCTCTTGCTGCTGCGGCGCCGTGGAGGAGCTGGGCTGGCGCTCGTCAGCATCCGGGTGCCTCGCGCCCGCTCTCGACATGGTCGGGCTGGGCGATTCGAGCGGCGGGTGAATCGGCACCTTTATAGTACACACACATAGTTATAAGCACAGTTCATAGACAGAGGCGACACCCACACACACGCAAAGTGCAGGCACACACGCATCTGACGATAAAATCTCTAACTGACCTAATACAAAATTTAGCAGTTACTCATATGATTTTATTCTTCATGGCCATTTATTTTATATATGTTAATTAATAGATACGTAGAAGTATGTTGTGTTATATAAAATACTTCGGTACGATCTGGAAGAACGGAGAATTCTAACATTGCGATCTTTCGCATTTAGTTATTAGTAAATAAAGATTAAAAGTAAAACTATAAACGCCTTTTAAGGTACGAAAGAGTTCGCCACGCTACCCCAATGGCGCGTTGACAAACATCTTTTCTTTTAACGTCGTAATTATATTTGTTCTCGAAATAAATTGATCAGACATACGGGTTTCGTCAAGATGATATTCTTCACCGCAGAGCACGTAAGTAGACGCCGTGGACCCATGCAACCGATTCCAATCAAAGATGGCTACAGACGCGTTATCACTTTTGAGAACTAAAGTGGAATGCGTTACAACATTTTATTACACTGGCTCTCTATACACCCTTATATACTCTACAGATCGGAACACAGCAGTGCACGTATCGCTCTTTGGTGGCAGAAATAGGTAATATTGGTGACAGATCTATATCTGGTACTACCCTTATACCTATGTAAGAGGGTGGTACAAATCTAGACGGTCTCCTTGGCAGAAAAGGAAAAAAATTAACAATTTCAGTTGTGCCGGTGGGAATCGAATTCGCTTTGCTATCGTCCTATGAAAGTGTTTTAAGCCAACCGCTCAACCCCCTGAGCTACTAGGGCTCTTGGTAACACGTTTTTTTTATAGGTATAGGTGGACTGTCCACCTGATGGTAAGTGGTTGCTGCGACCCATAGACATCTACATTTATCCTCGTTTGCGAATCAAAATGTAGATGCGTTTGTCACCCGTGAGGACTACTAAGATGGAATGCCTTGTTTCCAGTAAAAAGTGTCTCCGGTTCTCTACACTCACCATACTAAACACAGCAGTATTAAACTCTCCTTTCGTCTCCTTTAAAAGCAAATATTTCATGCCATTCAATTGATAATCAATTATTAGTTAGTTCGTTTTATTGAGATCAAGATCATTTTACCGGCAATTCAAACCGATCCTTTATCGTATGTAGGTCGATCATCTGACATTGAGGCAATCATTTTATGGAGTCTTGAGACAAAATGTTTCTAATAAAGTTACAGCCTATATACGTTCCACTTCTAGGCACAGAATTACAATTAGAAATACCCAAAAAGATTGTGTTAGTTAATTTACATGTTTTTTACTTGTAAATAATTTAATTAAAAGAAAATAATTAATATTTAATATTTAATCAATATTTTTCTTACATGTGCAGCTTGATTCGATGTTATACTACGATTGAACTTACAACAAAAATTTTACATGACAAAGAATTTCTCCAAAAATGTATCTATTCTGTGACAAAAACAAAAATTTTAGATCCTCTTTAGAAGTCTGCAGATCTAGGGATATTTTGAAATAGCATCTACGGAACTTTTTATATCAATCTACGGATTTGGAAAAATTCGAGTTGGCAACACTGGATTATCAGGCCTCATTCGCCTGCCAACCGTGACGATTAAGGCAAATATTCACCACAATAGGAGAGGCGCACATCCCCAAGAGTGGTATGTTACTGGTTGATGAAGAAGTTTACTCACCGAAGCGTGCGCTGGAGCAAAGCAGTGGCCGACAGGTCCTCTTGGATTGCTCGCGCCGATTCCCCCTCTGCTCGACCCGACGGTCCGAGCGACCGGGCGCCGAGGCCTAGTACCTGACAATTTGACGCCGGTTAGCACTGAGCGGCCTTGGGGGGCCACAGAGCGCTGGTCGGCTGTGGGCGGGGAGATATGTGCGCTGTGGTTGGACTCCATCACAGAACTTGGATAAGATTGGACACGGCAGTGACAGGAAATAGGGTGGCTTTAAGGAATAGATAATTCGATAACGAAATGTCGAGACAGAATTGATAAATTCAAAAGGATTTTTGAGATTCAAAATAATTGAGGTAGTTAGAGAAGGTGTAAAGGATAAGCTTAGGGTATTCTCAAAAGGTTACCAGGTTCAATGTCTTGTTGAAAGACAATTGCCTAGCTACCCTCGAACAAGTCAACACAGTCAGATACTTACAGCGGTGGTTGAGCACTGCTGTAGGCCCAGTGGCTGATCTCACTGACAGCGAGAACCAGCGACACTACAATTGTTTTATTATTATCAAAACGCCACGGTCTCAAACCCAGGCCCTTTAGTATACACGGGGCGCGAGCCCTTTATACTATTTTTATGTCTCGCTAGGAGATAGCGGGCCGCTTGATAGGGTTTTTTGTACGTTTATATTTTACTCAGAAATAACCTGTAAAATTTTTACAACATATAATTTGCGAAAATTAAACATGTTTATTAGTAAACAGTTAAAATTATTTTGACAACCCTGTTAATTTTTTTTTTAATTTGTAAAGCGCCAATCGAGCTTTTTTGCCAGCCCCGTTAAAAATATTTTTCTATTTATTATTAAAGCGGCAATCGAGCTACATAGAGGCAATGAAAATCAGGGTTGCGGGTACCCGCAAAGTAGTGGACGCTAAACGCAGCCAATTTTGTTGTCACTGTTACGCGGACAAGATGAATAAGTACCCGTGTTTTTAATATAATAATTTTAAGGCTTAGTCATAAAATCAATGTCAGTTTAAGTAAGCAATAATAACGATTCTAGGTAAAGATCAAAAAATACGCTTAGTCCCGCTGGGTTTCTTGCTGGTTCTTCGCAGGACTCTGATCTGAATCAACTCATGATCATTTTTGTATTTCAATATTAAGGCGACATGCAAGTCATCGGAGCCAAAATACGGGGAGGCGCAATGCCGATGAACGAGAAACATACATCGTTATCGTTACAGCTTATTACTTCCTTTGGTTTTTTATTCAATAGAATAAGCGTGACAACCAAGCACACAATCCACTTGACGGTAAGTGTATGCTGTTGCCCATAGACATAGATTAAGAATCAAAATGCAGATAAATAATTGTCATCCATGAGCATAAGATGAAATGCCTTGTTCCTAGTAAAATGGGTCTTCACTGGGGAGACAGTGTAATTACAAACTGTGAGGTGTTCCATCCTAATCTTCAGTGATGACAACGCAACTTTAGCCTTATTTATTTGAAGTTCACTATAGGTGTACATGGGCCGTGACAGCTACTTCCAATCGTGTGGACTGTTAGTTCGTCACCGGTTTTATAATAAAAAAAATGGCTCTACCACGTACGTAAGTATACGAAATTAGTTTTTTTGTTGTAAAAATAACTTTATCATATCAAATCACGCTTCCTCGCATGTCGCGTCGCATGTCGCGTCGCTCGTGCACAGCTTGTGGAAGCGATATCGTATTGTTTTGTACGTCGTATATCACGTTGTTTTTGCAACGTGTGACATAAAGTACGTACTGTTATACGTAGAGTCATGCTGCAACTAGATTATGGTTATACCACGAACGAGTCGGCACGATCTGGTTAAGGCCACGTTCTCACAGAATAATGCTGCTATGTTTCGTATGGTCAGTGTAGAGAGCCGGAGAACGTAACAAATTACGAGTAATCTATCTTAGACCTCAGGGGTGACAACGCATCTGATTCTTAATCGAGAATAGATTTAGATGTCTATGGCCCACAACATCCACTTATAAGATGGACTGCGTAGACAAAGTGCCAGAAAATATGCAGGACTTATCTGTAATAACATCTGAGAATGAGGTAAGGAATGAGGTATGACTTTTAGCTATTCTTGTAATTTATATTGAAAAAAAAAATGGCTATTATATTCAATTCTGTGCGCTCGTTTGTCACCCTATTCAATGAAAAAACACACTGATCAGGTTACTTTACACGTGTTCGGAGTCTTATTGCAAACCTAACAACATAATATTAGGTACTATATTTGACACGGTGAGTTTCGAGTATCGAAGGCCCCTTTTACTGGTATTATTTTCTACCAATCAGTCCCGGACTTACTTTTATCCCATAACCATATTCCAACAACTGCCAAAGACTTCGATCTTAAAAAGTACTTATACTAGAGCCATGCTGCAGCTATGGTTCTAGCACGTATGGGTCGGCTCAAGCGGGGAATGACCACACTGTCACAGAATACCGGCGTAAAATAGTGCTTCATGCATGCTGTTGTACTTGTATGGTGAGTGAGAACCGGAGACCCTTTTTACTGGAAACGAGGTATTCCATCTTAATCCTCAGGGGTGACAACGCATCCACATTTCAATTCTTAATCGAGGATAGATGTAGATGTCTATGGGCCGCAGCTTCCACTTACCATCAGGTGGACTGTGTGTTCGTTTGTCACCCTTGTTCTATATTAAAAAAAAACAGCAAAAATTATCACCCTCCTTTTTAGCTGCACCGTAGTCGGGTAAAAAGGTCGTACCGGACGAAAACAGTATCAGAATTGATTCGTTATCATTTATTTGTACGATATTTTAATGTGACCTTGACAATCGAAACACGCTAATACCGTGTGATAGCGGAGCTAGGGTTGTCAACAAGATGTTATTTATATTGTGAACCAGATTAGAGAAAAAGTATAGAGCGACTTGTTTTTACACGATTGATTGTCGAATCACACTAAATACAGCCTAATTACAGTGCACACTAATACACAGCAAGAACAATCTTCTATAGTCACCTTTTACTATATCCAAAAAGCGAAATGGACTGAATGGAAAAATTGTTATTTATGTATGACATATTATATTACACACAAAAATACATTGGGTATAAAAATTAATGCAATAAAATAATACTTTTTTTTAATAGAATAGGGTGACAAACGAGCACACAGTCCACCTGATGGTAAGTGGTTACTGTGACCCATAGACATCTACATCTATCCTCAATAAAGAATCAAAATGCAGATGCGTTGTCACCCGTGAGGAGTAAGATGAAATGCCTCTTAAAAGTGATCTTCGGTTTTCTATACTCACCATACGAAACACAGCAGTATTAAGCTGCTATTTTACGCTGGTATTCTGTGAGATCATGATCCATCCCCGGTCGAGCTCTACCACGTATAAAATATAATATCTACTGTTACCAATGGCTATTGCGAAAACCAAGTTACATAAAATTAAAATAAAATTTAAAAGTTTAAAAAAAATAACATCGAGCGCGTTACAACCCTAGCGCGGAGCTTGTTTTTTTTTAACGCTCTCGGAAAACATCCAACCGGTCCGCGGACCAATTTAAAGATTACGTTATACTGTTCAAAACAATACGCAGTACTTATCGCGTCTATTTAAAAATAAGGAAGACCTATACAATTTTAACGGCCAATCAGGAGACCGCGGCCATGTTTATCGGGTTAACACAAAAATTTACTTTTAATAAAACTACCCTCATTCATCCCGCGGGTGTCGTAAGAGGCGACAGAGGGAAACAAATCAGCGAGATGGGCAGCAGCGTCTCCTTAATAATGACCAAAAATAAATACAGCGATTGCCATCGCGCTTGCGAAGCGTGGCAACTATGGCAAATATCCCCCCCTATTAGGCTGGACTTTAATAAGCTGTAACGGTAAAATGTAAAAACAGACTATAATATTAGTTATTCTGTGCTATAACTGAAATGAATACAATAATTTCAGTCTCCGTTAAGACATAGCAGGTACAGAATATGAAATTATTTTTTTTTAGTTCACTCTCTCTATGACAGCATTTACTGTTTTTTTAAATGTGTGTTACCTCATAACTTTTTTCTAGGTGAACCAATTTCGATGATTTATTTTTATAGGAGAGGCGGCAAACGAGCATTCAGTTCACCTGATGGTAAGTGACTACCGCCGCCCATGAACAACCGCAACACCAGGGGAATTGCAGATGCGTTGCCGGCCTTTTAAAAAGGAGTAGGCTATTTTCTTGATTCATTTTTTATTTGAAAACTGATCATCAAGATCTGACCAGTAGTTTTTAAGTTACCGTTAATAATGCGTATTTAATTGACTTCAATTATCCTGAAAAAAACTACAAGAACATCATGTTCTTATTTTATTTAGATCGAATTCGGTTGTACAATTTTTTTTTAAATTTGACTACTTCTTACACACACACACACACGGCTGGACTTCCCATACGGGAATTGTCGGAACGGTTTCTCAGGACCTCAAGACGGTGGATATCTGATGAAAACTCGCATTCTCAAAATTTGACCGAAATCTTTAACTTTCTACTTTTGAAAATTATTAATTTTCAAAACGGGAAGTTAAAAATTAAATTATGTAGTAGGAATCTATTTCTGCGAGATCGAGTCCATTTGGGAAGGTACCTACAACTCTCTAATCTATTTCTGACGTCAAACAGCAGTGCATGGACTGCTGTTCCGGTTTGTAGGGTATAAAGAATCAGTATAATCACGTACATCCATTAATAATAATAATACCATAATTATAATAATTAATTAGACTCTCAGTTTGACAAACTACACTTGTGTTATAAGAAGTTAGCGTTAACGGCCATCTCTAACACAGTATAAAACAAATTCGCTTCCCGCTGTCTGTACGCTTAGATCTTTTAAACTACGCAACGGATTGCGGATGCGGTTTTCATCAATAGACAGAAAGATTCAAGAGGAACGTTTATATGTATAATACACGCATATTATATATATTATGTAATACTTCTGTTCGTGTGTGTGACTGAACTCCTCTTAAACGGCTGGACCGATTTTTATGTAATTTTGTGTGTGTGATTAGGTTGATTAGAGAATGGTTTA